TTGAATTATTGGGGTGACATTGGTTAATAAAATTCTATAGGTTTCAGGTGTACAATTCTATAATACATCATCTGTATATTGTGTGTTCACCACCCAAAGTCAGGTCTCCCTCTATCACCATTTATCCGCCCTTTACCCTATTCTACCCCCACACCCCCTTCCCTCTGGTCATCCTCATACTGTTGTCTGTGTCCATGAGTCTTTCTTTCTTTTTTTATCCTCACTGGAGGACATTTTTCCATTCTTTGTTCAGATAGAGTGGGAGGGAAAGAGAGGAAGAGAGAGAAACATCAACGTGAAAGGGACACATTGAGTGGTCGCCACCCGCACGATCCAACCAGGGCCAGGGACAAACTGCAACTGAGGTACATGCCCTTAGTGGGAACCGAACCTGGGTCTCTCTGGACCACAGGCCGACGCTCTAACCGCTAAGCCAGACTGGCCAGGGCGAGTCTTTCTTTTTTTTTTTCTTTGCTTAATCCCTTCACCCTTCTCACCCAGCCCCCAGCCCCCTCCCCTCTGACAGCTGCCAGTCTGTTCTCTGTATCTGTGAGTCTGTTTCTGTTTTGTTTGTCTATTTTTGTTTATTAGATTCTCATATAAATGAGATCATATGGTATTTGTCTTACTCTGACTGGCTTAATACTGTCCAGGTCCATCCATGCTGTCGCAAAAGGTAAGATTTTCAGACAAATATCACATGATCTCACGCATATGTGGAGTCCAAAGAACAAACCAAACAACCAAACTGACAAGCCAGACAGGAGCAGAGGCGTGGATGTGGAACAGACTGCCAGAGCTCAGAGGGGGGGAGGGGGAGGACAGCAGGAGATCAGCCAGAGCTGGGGGGGGGGGGAGGACAGCAGGAGATCAGCCAGAGCTCAGGGGGGGGAGGGGGAGGACAGCAGGAGATCAGCCAGAGCTCAGGGGGGGAAGGGGAGGGACAGCAGGAGATCAGCCAGAGCTCAGGGGGGGGAGGGGGAGGACAACAGGAGATCAGCCAGAGCTGGGGGGGGGGAGGACAGCAGGAGATCAGCCAGAGCTGGGGGGGGGGGGGAGGACAGCAGGAGATCAGCCAGAGCTGGGGGGGGGGAGGGGGAGGACAGCAGGAGATCAGCCAGAGCTCAGGGGGGGAAGGGGAGGGACAGCAGGAGATCAGCCAGGAAATACAGGTGTGTCTGCGTAGCCCATGGACGCAGACGGCTATATGGAGAAGGCCCAGGGAGGCGGGGCAGGCTGGAGGGAGGCAGAGGGGAGAAAATGGGGGACATCTGTCACAGAGTCAACAGTTTTTTAAAAAGTCTTGTCTGTGTGGAGAGGGGAAAAGCTGTAATACATTTACACAACGGAATATTTCTCAGCCATAGAAATCTCTACTTTTAGCCCTGGTTGATTAGGTTCGGTGGTTAGAGCATTGGCCTGTGGACCAAGGGGTCTCAGTTTCGATTCTAGTCAAGGGCATGTGCCTAGGTTTCGGTTGGATCCTGGCTCTGGTTGGGGTTGTGTGGGGGTGGCCAGTCGGTGAGTCTCTCTCACATCCATGTTTTTCTCCCTCCCTCACTCCCACTCTATCTGAAAATCAATGGAAACGTGTCCTCGGGTGAGGATTTAAAAAAAAAAATCTACTTTTAAATTTTTCTTTTTTGTTTTTAATTGATTTTTAGAGATAGAGGAAGGGAGAGGGAAAGAGAGATAGAAAAATGGATGAGAGAAAACATCTGTTGGCCGCCTCCTGCATGCCCCTCACTGGGGATCAAACCCACAACCTGGGCTTGTGCCCTGACTGGGAATGGAATTGGTGACCTTTTGGTGCAGGGTCGACGCTCAACCCCCGAGCCACACCCGCCGGGCTGAATTCTTATTGGTAACTCCAGACATACCCGGAAGTAAAGGCATGTAGCCCTGTGCGCCGCCGTCTAGCTTCAGTGACGACTGACTCACATCCTTTGTGTCCTCCTCTCTCCCACTCGCATGTCACAGAGATTATAGTCGTGTTCTTGACAGGTAAGGACTCTTCTAAAAAAACTTTTTAAACATAACTACAACATCATCATCACACCTAAAAAAAGATTACTAATAATTCCTTGATATCAACCATCTAGTTGGTGTTCAATTTTCCATTTATCTCAAACATCCATTTTATTTTATAGTTTTTCCAAATTGGAATCTAAATGAAGTTTACACGGTTTGACCGTGTGGTGAGTCTTTTGGTTTCTTCTAACTGATAGGTGTTCCTCCCATACCCCCACCGCACCTTGTGATTTGGTGGTTGTTGAAAAAACTGAGTTGTTTGTCTTGAAGAATTTCCTACAGTCTGGATATGGCGGATTGCATCCTGAGGGTATAGCTTAACTTTTTATTTTGTTTTCTATGTAGACAGGAAATTGGGAGTTGGATCTAAAGAAGCAATTCTCCAAACTTCTTGGTCTCAGGACCACTTTACACTCTTAAAAATTATTGGGGACTCTGAAGAGCTTATTGATATTTACTGTATTTGAACTTTTTTTTTTAATTTCATTTTATTTATTTTTAAAATTTATCTTTATCGTTGAAAGTATTACAGCTGTCCCTCCTTTTTTCCCCCATTGATACCCTCCTCCCCGCTCCCCCCATCCTGCCTTCACCACACTATTGTCTTTGTCCATTGGTTGTGCATATATGCATGTAAGTTCTTTGGTTTATCTTCCCATCCCCCCCAACTCCCTTCCTTCTGAGGTTTGTCAGTCTGTTGCCTACTTCATGTCTCTGGATGTATTATTTATCAGCTTATTTTGTTCATTATATTCCACAAATAAGTGAGATCATGTGGTACTTGTCTTTCTCTGAGTGGCTTATTTTGCTCAGCATAATATTTATTGCCATTTTTATTCATTATGCCTATGTTTCTCTCTATGTGTTTCTTACTATTACAGCAGTTCCTTTAACATTTCTTACAATGCTCGTTTGGTGGTAATAAATTCCTTTAGTCTTTTGTTGTCTGGGAAGCTCTTTATTTGACCTTCCAATTTGAATGATAACCTTGCTGGATAGAGTAGTCTTGGATTCAGATCCTTGTTTTTCATGACCTTGATTACTGCATGCCATTCCCTTCTGGCCTGTAGTGTTTCTGTTGAGAAATCAGTTGGAAGCCTTATGGGAGCTCCTATGTAGGTAATCTTTTGCTTTTCTTTTGCTGCCTTTAAGATTCTCCTTGTCTTTAATTTTTGCATTTTAATTATGATATGTCTTAGCGTGGGTCTCTTTGGGTTCTTCTTCCTTGAGACTCTGTGCTTCCTGAGCTTTGTGTGCCTTTTTCCTTCACCAAGTTAGGGAAGTTTTCTGCCACTGTTTCTTCAAACAGATCCTCTAACCCTTGCTCACTTTCTTCTTCTGGTACTCCTATGATGTGGATGCTGTTATGTTTTATGTTGTCTCATAGCTCTCTTAAACTGTCCTCCTGTTTTTTAATTAATTTTTCTTTTTGGTTCTCTGAGTGATTTTTTTCTACCCTGTGCTATAATTCACTGATCTGATCCTTGGCTTCTCTAATCTTCTGTTTATTCCTTCCAATGTGTTATTTCTGCTATGTCATTCTTGACTTCTGATTTTTTTTTCATTGTTTCTTTGACCTTTCTCATGATGTTGAGCATCTTTATAATCGTTACTCTGAACTATATATCTGATAGGTTGCTTATCTCCATTTCATTTAGCTCTTCTGGAGAATTCTCTTATTCTTTCATTTGGGCCTTGTTTCTTTGTTGTACTGTTTTGGCTGCCTATGTGGGTTTGTTACTATGCATTAGGTCGATCTGCTACAACTCCCAGTTTGCATAGGGTGATCTTATGTCATAGGTGACCTGTGGGACTCAGTGGTACAGTCTCCCTTGTCACCAGACTTGGATGCTCTAATAATTTCCCTTGTTGCTTTGTGTGGACTCTCCTGTTGTGATAGAATCTTAATTGCCCTTGGTCTGTACATGCATGGACTTGACCCTCTGGCTGGCTGACAGTGATGCTCAACCCCCAACACAGTGAGCAGGCTGCTGTGCAGTTGCTTATCACGTGAAGTGCAATTCACCTCATCAGGGTTTGGAGCCTGCCAAAATCTTCCTTGGTTGTTAACAATCCACAGTTTGTTTCTCCTTCTGCTGAGGGTCTGGTTTTATTTTTCTGGGGCAAAGTCATTCGCAGGCCAGGCAAAGATTCAGAGCACCCAGAGTTCAGTCTCTGCTGGTAGACTGAGTAGTCCTTCCCTAAATGTAAACTCCACTCCACCCAGGGGGCGGGCGAGAGGAATTTCAATGGGTGGGTCCATTGCTTCCCCCCAGGCTAAAGCTGTTCTGATAGGAAAACTCTGCATTCCAAACGATGGCTTCTGCAGCTTGGGGGAAGGACTCAGCACAGGGCTTCTGGTATCTGCCTTCCCAGCTCGCTCCCCCAGAGCCCTGAATGCCAGACTCTCCTCACACAGCTCTATCCACTCAACACTCCCTCTGCCAGGGCCTAAGGTGAGTGTGCTGGCCCTTCGAGATGGTGCCCATGGTTCCAGCCATCTTTCCCTGCCAGACAGAACCTGTTGTGCTTTTCACAGCCTGGTGCTATGTGGGCACTTTTCCCGGTTCTGCCACTCTGGGCCAGGGGACCCAGCTTGGGGTTTAGACCCCAGACTTCTCAGGGGGACCCCCCACAGCTGAGATCCCTCTGAACTTCAGTTTCTGCCTGTGGGAGCCCATCCAGCTCTCTCGCATCTGCACACTTCCTACCACACTCGACGTGGGCTCCTCTGTATGTCCTTGGTTATAAAGGTTCTCTCCAGCTGGTCTTCAGTTGGTTATTTCAGCTGATTTTCTATATTTTAATTGTAATTACAATATGGTCCTGGGAGAAGGTTAGTGTAGCTTCCCATCCAATTCGCTGCCATTCTTTCAGGCAAAAATTGTCTGAAGTCTAATAAACCTTCTTTTGTATGTTACCATGAATACACTTTATAATTATTTTCCTAAACAAAAAATATAGTGAAGGGTGCCTTTAATATATAAGTATTGCAAGTCTGTTTAACGTCTTACTAGAAATCGGCTGGCATTCATCTGTGATATTTCATGTCATGTGCTTTCTGGAAAACTCCACTGTGCACTTGTGAGAGAAAAAGAATAAGCAAGGCAGAGATACGGTCACATCCTAGTGTTGTCGTGAAAATAGTTCTGACTTCTAGGGAAGCTGTTCCTCCTTGGATCTAGGGGTCTGAAAAGATTCAGGTTTGACCCCCACCTCACCCCATGACTACATGGTAGGTGGTGTTGGGTTCTTCCATCAGGACAAGCATGATGTCTGGTTGTGTCTCTGTGATCTCAGCAGCTGTTGATCAGCCCTGGATCAGAGGTTGGCAAACATTTTGTCTGACGGGCCAGAGAGGAAGTGTTTTCAGCTGAGGCTGATGTGGTCTCTGTCACAACTGCTCAGCAGTGCGGCTCGAGTGGAAAAGCAGCCGAAGACAATGTGTAAGTAAGTGAGCGTAACTATGTTCTAATAACATTTTATTTTATTTTTTTGTTTATCCTTACCTGAGGATGTTTTTTCTATTGATTTTTAGAGAGAGTGGAAGGGAGGGCAGGAAGGGAAAAGAGAGAGAGAGAAACATCAGTGATTAGATGCATTGATGGGCCGCCTCCTGCACCTCCACCCCGTCCAGGGCCAAGGATTGAACCTGTAACCCAGGGACGTGCCCTTAACTGGGAATTGAACCTGTGACCCTTCAGTTCATAGGCCGACATTCTAACCACTGTGTCAGGTAATGCTTTGGGCGTTCAGATGCTCTGTGCAGCGGTGGCGACAGGTGCCGGAGCTCGAAGGCTGCAGCAGGGTGGGTTGATTCGGAGGGAGATGGGGACCCCAAGGATCCAGGCTTGGGAACTGTTTAGAAATGAGTTTTATTTTGCTAAGAAAACGGCCAGGGCTAGTTTTCTCTTTTTCAAAATGAGTCCAAGAAAGTAAGAACCTCATAAATAGCCCCATTACATCTGGAAAGTTCTGTTACCACTTAGCTCATTTTAGGTGATTGACTATATTGTCATGTTGTCATGACTGAGGATAATGATGAAGAACTGTGTTTAAAATCTTTCTAAAAATGTATGTGTAGGACACATGCTATCTGTTTCATAAGGTGGACCAGAATTGTAATGACGTTACTTTAAAGTGGATGCAAGGCTGATGTTTGATATAAATTAATGGTGTTTCTGGACCTAATGTGTTTTCTGTCTTTTTTTTTTTTAATCCTCACCCGAGGACATTTTTTGTATTTATATTCAGATAGAGCGGGAGGGAGCCAGGGGGTAAGAGAGAGAGAGAAACATCGACACAAGAGAGACACATCAACTGGTTGCCACCCACATAACCCCAATGGGGCCAGGAACAAACCGCAACCGAGGTACGTGCCCTTAACGGGAACTGAACCCGGGACTCTCCCATCCGTGGGCTGATGCTCTAACAGCTGAGCCAAACCGGCCAGGGCTGTCTGTCTGTTTTTTAAAGTTGGCCAACCCACATCAGGAAATGAGAGCATTTTTGTCTTTGGGCATTTGCCAGATCTCTACAAAGCATGAGCCATCTGCCATGTCTTTTTAAGGCAATATCTTTATGCTTTGCAGTGGAATGTTTTAACCATGAATACATGACTATTATACAGTTGTAGGAACTTTATTTTTGCTACTCTGTTTTAGTGCTGGATTTCCCAGTTCTGTTCCCTGTGAGAGTGTTACTGATTATGACAAAGGTGATGTGTAGAAAGTAAATAATTTTAATACATAATTCTACTGAGTCTGACAAAAGACAAAAATAATCCCAACGATTCCTCAACATTCAGAGGTCTGTGTTTCCCCACATGGGTCATTTTGGGACCGTGAGACCAGACATAAAGGATTTTCTAAGCTTGAGCTCTTTGATTTTTAAAATAAACACCCACGTCTCTGTCAGGTAATGCTTTGGGCGTTCAGATGCTCTGTGCAGCGGTGGCGACAGGTGCCGGAGCTCGAAGGCTGCAGCAGGGTGGGTTGATTCGGAGGGAGATGGGGACCCCAAGGATCCAGGCTTGGGAACTGTTTAGAAATGAGTTTTATTTTGCTAAGTCAGGGTTAATCATGCTTCCCGGGAGGAAGCATTGCTACAGACTTGCTCATCAAGTGAGGTGAAAGTCAGAATAAGAGGTTGGAGTTATAGATAAACTTTGATAAAGAGATTAAGTTTTTTTTTTTTTCCTTATTGATTTTAGAGAGAGAGGGAGGGAGAGGAAGAGAGATAGAAACAATGATGAAAGAGGACATTGATTGGCCGCCTCCTGCACACCCCCCACTGGGGGTTTGGCCCACAACCTGGGCATGTGCCCTGACCGGGAATCGAACCGGTGACCTCTTAGTGCATGGGTCAAGGCTCAACCACTGAGCCACACTGGCCAGGCAGAGGTTAAGTTCTAACTGAGAAACACTGTCCTAGCAAAAGCTACTAACACTTTTTAGGAAACCTGTTTCCCATGCCCATATAACTGTGCACAGCACAGGACGGACATTCAGTAAATGCTAGTCAAATGAATAAACAACGGTGCAGCATATTTTATTTGGTAAGCATGGGTGTTTTGGTAGTGTAGTATATTTATTTATTTTTTGGAGTATATATCTTTAAATGTTGCCATAAAATACATGAGTAAATGCTAATAAGGCACCTTTCAGCTGGCATTAGATTATGCTTGAAGGGTTATTTCTACTAGACGTAACCATGGTGATGATGTACGGTGTTTCCTTTGTTTTTAGCTCAGGAGCAGCTGTTTGACGTGGTGGGATGTGCTGTGTTCTGGGTCAGTGAAGCTTCTGGGGGAATGTGTGAAATATTTCAGAGCAAACATTAACAATTTTTTGTGTGAACGTTTTCAGTTTTTCATGATGAATATATAGCTTCAACACTGTGCATCAAAACTCCAGGTGGAACTCTTGGTGCAGGTTGTTGGGCTGATCTGCTTGGAAGCAGCCAGAAGATCCTGCCCTCTGCTAGCGAGGTAATCTTTCTTCTTGGCAGATGTGTGTTCTGATCCTGCACGTCTGCCTGGGAGGGATTCACGCGGCCTGAGCTGCCGCCGGGTTATTTCTTCATGTTGAGAGGGGGAAGAACAGTGTTTTCTCCAGTAAGGTGGGGTTGGGAAGGAGGGACTTGTCCTGCTTTCTGGAGCCGTTTCTTTCAGCTCCTCACCCTCCAGTTCTTTGCAGCCCGTGTCCTTCCTGTCCCACCTCTCACTTCTGTGTGGACGGCCCTGGATGAAGGTGCCTTTCTCCTCTTTCCACGTTCCTCCCGGAACGTGTGTCTTCACCAGTGAGGGGACCTTCTCTCATCAGTGACTTTTTCTAACCAGATCTGCGTCTTTATTAAATGTTGGTTCCTAACTTTTATGTTATTTCACATTATTGATCATGCTTGAAATCAGCCCTTCCCTTGACTCTTCATTCCTCTGTCTGTTTGACTGACTCTTCAGGGAATACTTCCAACCTCTCTCCAGTCCTGGTTTATTGTCTCGTTCCTGAATCTTATCTGTGCTTTACTTTTTGAATGTCACTTCTCCTGAATGAGTTCCTCAAAAAAAATGGTTTGATAATTCCCCAGAGCTGGTCGAATAACCAGGACTTCACTGTGTTCCACCAAACTTAACTCTACCCTCTCATCTGTCTGCAGCTGGGAGCTGGTCATTTTCCAAGACCTTGAGTCTGGCTCTGCCTGGCCTGTGTGGTAAAGGCACTTCAAGTGTCTTGACACTCTCTCCCCAATCTAATTTTCCTGTTAATTTTTTTTTTTAATCACCCCGAGGATATTTATTCATCGATTTTCAGATAGCATGGGAAGGAGTGAGGGTGAGAGAAAGAAACGTTAATGCAAGAGAGAGACATTGATTGGATGCCTCCTGCATGACCCCAAGCAGGGCTGGGATCTAACCGCAACCGAGGTATGTACCCTTGACCAGAATTGAACCCGCAACCCTTTGGTCTCTGGGCCGACGCTCTAACCACTGAGCAAAACTGGCGAGTGTAAATTTTCCTATTAATTTTTTGCTAATCACCGTACCCTCATGTCATTTTCTCTGCTCTTAATAATTCGTTGCCTTTAATAAACCCCCCATAACCCTCAGAAATCTCCCCAGGCTACTGGGTTCCTCTCTTACCTCTTTTTACTCTTGTAAATTCCTGATTGTATTTCACATCCCACTCAGAAGTCACTTCCTTGATGACAGTGCCGAGTTCTTTTTGCCTCATTTGCACTTTGACGGTAGTGTGTTCACCCTGTGTCTTACCTGGTTTACAGCATCTGTCTGCCCTTCTAGGCTGCTCAGCACTGGAGACATTGTATCTTCCCTGGGTCCCTACCCTGATCTCTTACACATGATAGACAGTCTATAAATACGGGATGGGTTAGGCCTTCTGTCTTAACAATCATCCCCTCAGTATTCTCCTGGACCCGAAATGTTGGCATCCAGCCTTTCCCAGTCTGCAGATGGCCTTCCCTTTGCTAATTGGGTTTTTCCTCTACTGACCACCATCATGGGCAGTGTAGCTCTGCAGTGATTGTGGGATTGGAACCTGTTCATCTTTTTCAAGACTTTTATGCTATTCTGGGTTCTCAGCTTTTTTAAATTTTAGAATTAGCTTGTCAATTTCTGAAAAAGAAAAGGATTTGGTAGAGATTATATTGGATTTGGAGATCAATCTGGGGAATACTGCCATCCTAACAGGACTGGTGTTCTGGTTCATGAACATAGATGTTTTATGTAGGTCTTCTTTCATTTCTTCCAACAACATTAAATTTATCACTAAATATTTTATTTTTTTGATGCTATTTGTAAATGGAATTGTTCTCTTCTTTTGGTGGTTGTTGTTAGTCCTCACTGGAGGTATTTTTTCCATTGATTTTTAGAGCGAGTGGGAGGGAAGGAGGGAGAGCGCGCGCCGTTGTCTAGGCTAGGGGATTACATATTCAGGTTTCATGTGCTTGCAGTGGCCACTGTTCTGGCCACTGAATCGCTCGTAGGTGTGAGGGACAGGTAGGCACCTTCCCGCGTCACTCAGACCTTACAGGCCATGGGCCTCAACTGCCTTTGTCCTGTCCTGGCCAGTTTGGCTCGGTGGTTAGAGGGTTGGCCCGCGGACCAATGAGTTACAGGTTTGAATCCTGTCGAGGGCATGTACCTCGGTTGACGTTCGTCCCTGGCCCTGGTGGGGTCGTGCGGGAGTCAGCCGGTCGATGTGGCTCTATTACATCGATGTTTCTCTCTGTGTCTCTCTCTTTTCCCCTCCCACTCTGATAATAAGAAAAAAAAAAGAAAGAAAAAAATGAACTGCCTTTGTCCAGTCCCTTCCCCCGTCGATCAGCGGGAACAGACCCGGAGTGTTAAACTGCTAGCCTCCCCTCACTCCGTTCCTGTTAAATAACAGCAGCATCATGGCAGCGGCCTCACTACCCATCTCAGCCTCCTGGGGGCCCTCCGGAACGCCTATTCCAGTGGCATCCCGAGAACCCTACTCCCACCAGCAGCAGGGACGGTAAGTCCATGCAGTTCTCCGGTAACAACAGCATGACCACTCCAGGCGCCTCCATGCCCGGGCAGGCAGCTGCCAGCTGCAGGTCCCTTGGTAGCGCCTACCAGGTGGCCCTGGGCTAGTTCAGTCAGGTAGACCCTGGAGCAGCACAGAGCATCGGAAATCACTGCTGTTGCTGATCACCTGTTAAAGGGAAACCATAAAAAGAGTTACAAGTCATGTGAGCCTCATCCTACCGTGGGAATAGACCACTGTTTCTGTGTGAAGCTTCATGCTCTCCTAGACATGATGTGTGAGGTCCAAGTTACCCTGTCACTGCTCAGATTCAGCCTGTCTCAGTGCAAGTAATTCCTTGTGAGGGAGAATTCCTCTCTCTCTGGGGCTCACTGCTCTATAAAAGAGTGCTTTTAAGTTTTGATTCACTTAAAAGCCATTGATCCACCTGGCTGGTGTGGCGCAGTGGTCAAGCATCGACCCCTGCACCAAGAGGTCGCTGGTTCGATTCCTGGTCAGGACACATGCCCAGGTTGTGGGCCCAGTCCCCAGTGTGGGGCATGCAGGAGGCAGCCAGTCGATATTCTCTCATCAATGTTTCTATCTCTCTCTCTCTATCCCTTCCTCTCTCTCTCAAATCAATAAAGAAAAAACATTAAAAAAGAAGCACCACTGGATCTGTGATAAAGCAAATGACCATGTTAACTGTCACACAGAGGGCCAGTTGAGGGCAGTGCTGATACTTGGCAGGATTACGTGGGGAGCATGATACAGAAGCTTTGCTAACAGTGGACTCTGTGCTGAGCTTGCTCTGAGGGGCGCCCAGGACCCCAGAATCCCAGCATGGCGAGCTGGAAGAGGCTCACCAAACCAGCCCGTCCCCTGCTTCATCAGAAGGGAGTTTGCTTCAGGCTCACAGTTTCATGGTATTTCTTCTGCCCAGGAAGAACCTTCACTTTGTAGCTTCCTGGACCAGTGTCACATCCTGCTGAGCCACAGGAAATTCCAAGCTGCTGGCAGGTGCAGCCTCCCAGACCTCGGGGGACTGGCCCGGCGTGCACCACAGCTGTTGCTGTGGACTCCAGTGGACATGGACACAGAGGGGTCATGGGCCAAGTTATTTTCGACGTGAATATGCAGAATCACAGAGGTCTCTGGAATATGGGGCCTGAGATTGCTCCCTCTGCATGTGGAGAACTCTGCATGAGAGTGAGTGACACGTGTGTGGCGTTCCATGATTCACAGAGGACTTTTCTCCTGTGCCTCTTATTTAAGCCCCACAACTTGGATGAACACAGAGGCAGAAGGGACCTGTCTCGTCACGTCGCTGAAGGTGGGACAGAGTCTGGGGTCTCCGAGTCTGTGCGTTTCTATGGCATTCAGGTGTCTCCGGGAATCCCTTGAGCAGTGGAGAACACACATCTTGACCTGTTTGTTCTGAAACCGCGGACACTGCCAGTTGTGCCGGGTTTCGCCGTCCTGAGGAGAGGAAAGGAGGGGGCGGGAGGGATGACAGTCCCGGCAGGTCAGGGGCCATGCAGATCTGTGGGATCTGAGACACTGCTGTTTATCTGCTGCCCTTCCGGTGGCCACTCGGCCGCCAGTGTTTCTTGGGAATGAGTTGGACCAGCCCCTGGCTCCACTCTGGCCCCAGGACCTGTTACCCTGACCTTCCGTTTCCGGCATGGAGTCCTGCGGTCAGGGCTGCTAGAGGACACCCTTTCTCCGTCCTGCAGATGGGGCAACTCGGGCACATCATCCGTGACGACGGCCCTTAAGAGCTCGCGTTCATGCTTTATTCACCACTACTGGTCGTTCTGTGCCAAAGGCTTCTGAGCGTCAGGACGCCGCGGGGTAGTTTGCCACCTGCAGCCCTCAGTGTCCACTGCCGTGCAGCCCAGAGCAGCCGAGCCTGGCTGGCAGCCATTGACCACCTGTCTGTGTGGCAGCCCGAGGAGGCGTGCCCTGGAGGTCACGGCCACACTGCTGTTGAGCACCCCTGCCTGCGGAGGGGCTGGGGCGTCAGCACCTTGCAGATGGTTGTAAATGCAGAATCTGGGCCCCCGTCATCCTACTGCGCCTGCCTCCATTGTACTGAGCTCCCTGGGGGACTTGTAAACGTGTTCAAGTGTGAGAAGCTCTAGTGTACTGACATTGTTGGTTGCCCATGAGTATTCATTTCTCTTGTTTTTCTTTTTTGCAATTTTTGTGAATTTATTGTTGTTCCAGATGTTTCTCCTTTTCCCCTCCTAGACACCCTCCTCCCGACTCCATCCCCCCACCCCCAGCATGGTTGTCTATGTCCACTGGTTACACATATGTGCATATTCTCTTGTTTTTCTTAATACAAAATGCAGGGGTGTTTTTTCCAGTTACTTCTTCGTCACCCCTGGACAGCTATGTGAACCCATCCTTTTCTGAACCAGTCAGAGCATGGTTTTCCCTCAGGGACGTGGTCCAAGGGCAGTCATAGGAGGGAGGTTGGCTCAGTCATCAGGAAAGACTTATTCTTTGTTCTAGGCATGCATTTTCTCTCATATCCAGCAAGAGAGAGAGAAGGAAGCATCTTCATCATCATGAATCTTCAGGTAATGGAAATGTAGCCCTTATTTCCACTGTAGCCATCAGGTGACCATGAGAGAATCAGTTTGATATGAATCTGACACATTGTCAGGGCAGAAAGATGGCTTCTTGATTTGGGGCTTGAGCTGCTGAGCTGTCCTGTGCATGGGTCCCTTCCTGCCCCTGAGCTTCTGATGACGAGGGACACATTTTCTCCTGCCTCACACGTTTGAGTTTGCGAGTTTTATGTTCCTTAGAGCTGAACGCATCCTGATATATTCAAATATGGTCACGGATGCTGACCCTCCGTAAAATACCTGCTTTCTCGGACGGCTACTCGTTTTTCTCCTACTCTTCTTTAAAATATGTTTTTATTGATTTTTTAGAGAGAGAGGAAAGGAGAGAGATATGGAAACATCAATGAGAGAGAGTATCGATTAGCTGCCTCCTGCATGCCCCCCCACTGGGGATCTGGCCCGCAACCCAGGCATGTGCCCTCACCGGGAGTTGAACCGGGTCCTCTCAGTCCATGGGACAGAGCTCCACCCACTGGGCCACTCAGGCCGGGCCCTCCTGGTCTTTTGACTAGTGTTTTTGTGCTGCGGTGATTGCTGATTGCCCAGGTGAGGGCTGGCGTGGGAAGAGGAAGCTGTGAGGGAACTAGGGAGAGCTGGCCGTCCTGAGCACAGCGGACTTGCCCTCGGGAGCCGGTGCTGGACAGCAGGCGCCGGGCAGGCGCCCAGCGTGCTCTTTGCACCTCAGTTTCCCATTTATAAAATGGAAAGAATAACGAGATAGTGGAAGTGGAAATTTAAAAACTTGACTCTTTTTTTCTAGTTTACATCTCATTTATAATTGTTTTTGTTTTTTCCTTACTGTGGTAAAGCATAAGTAATTTAAAATTTACCTTTTACCTATTTGTTAAAACTAATCTTTATTGTTGAATGTATTACAGATGTTCCTCCTTTTTCCCCCATTAACCCCCTCCTCCCTGTTCCCGCCCCCCTCCTACCTTCCCCACACTGTTGTCTGTGTCCATTGGCTATGCATATAAGTTCTTTGGTTTACCTCTTCCCACCCACCCCTCCCCTTTGAGGCTCATCAGTCTAACAATCAATTTGTACTTCTTAGTTCCTTCACCTTTTTCACCCATTCCCCCAACCCCCCTCCCATCTGGCAAGCAACAAAATGTTCTCTGTATCTATGAGTCTGTTTCTGTTTTGATTGTTCATTTTGTTTGTAGATTCGATTGTTGATAGGTATGTATTTATTGCCATTTTATTGTTCATATTTTTTATCTTTTTCTTCAAGAAGACCCTTCAACATTTCATATAATACTGGTTTGGTGGTGATGAACTCCTTTAGGTTTTTCTTGTCTGGGAAACTCTTTATATGCCCATCAATTCTACATGATAGCTTTGTAGGATAGAGTAATCTTGGTTGTTGGTTGTTGCTTTTCATCACTTTGAATATTTCTTGCCACTCCCTTCTGGCCTGCAAAGTTTCTTTTGAGAAATCAGCTGACAGTCTTGAGGGAGCTCCCTTGTCAGTAACTAACTGCTTTTCCCTTGGTGCTTTTAAGATTCTGTCTTTGTCTTTAACCTTTGGCATTTTTAATTATGATGTGTCTTGGTGTGAGCCTTTTGGGATTCATCTTGTTTGAAAGTCCTCTTTACTGATTTTAGAGAAAGAAGAAGGGAGAAAAGGACTCTCTGTGCTTCCTGGACTTGTATATCTGTTTCCTTCACCAAGTTAGGGAAGTTTTCTGTCGTTATTGTTTCAAATAGGTTTGAAATTTCTTGCTCTCTCTCTTCCATGATGCAAATGTTGGTACGCTTGAAGTTGTGCTCATTTTTTTAAAATTAATTTTTCTTTTTGCTGTTTTGATTGGGTGTTTTTTGCTTCCTTATATTCCAAATCAGTGGTTTGCTTCTTGGCTTTACCTACTCTACTATTGATTCCCTGTAAACTATTCTTTATTTCAGTTAGTGCATCGTTCATTTCTGAGTGGTCCTTTTTGATGTTGTTGATGTTCTCACTAAGTTCCTCAGAGGTCTCCTTATGTTCCTTGAAGGTCTCACTAAATTCCTTGAGCAACCAAGGAACTCGTCCTCACCAAGGACTTGAGCAACCTTATAACCAGTGTTTTGAACTCTGCATCTGGTTAATTGCTTATCTCCATTTTGTTTAATTCTTTTCCTGGAGTTTTGTTCTTTTCTTTCATTTGGGACATGTTTCTTTGTCTCCTCATTTTGGCTGCCTCCCTGTGTTTGTTTCTATGTATTAGGTAGAGTTGCTATGTCTCCTAGGCTTCCTAGGGTGGCCTATTGTTGTAGGCGTCCTGTAGGGTCCAGTGGCACAGCTTCTCTGATCACCCCAGCTGGGCCCTCGAGGTGCACCCCTAGTGTTAACTTTATACCCTTCTGTTGTAATTGAGTCTTGATTGC